GGTTTTTGGCCAATTCCCCTAATTGGACTAAAAGTGGTCCACCAACCCGGTTAAAGCCCTGAATGTTGGCTCTTCGTCCTCTCACTTTGGTGGGAAAACACGTCCAATGCAAGAGAAGGCAGCCAGTAGGAATTCCTCAGCAGAGACTGTTTGAGACCCTTGATCATACGGGAGCTTTTTACGAGGGAATGGTGATCAATCACAATCCCAGACATCCACCGTGACGATACTGAGGTTTTCAGAGATCATCGATAACCATGACCTAATACACGATTGTTCTCTTGCGATTTGCACTTGTTTGTGAAAAAGGTGTCAGACATGCACTGTCCTCAAAGATCGCTTAATATCGCTGCGGACAAATCTGGAAAACAACCAGTATCGATCCCGATTTGCACACAAAAACTTTCCGGTGGTAACTTGACCCAAGATGAATCTGTTATTTGCACTGATCATCCAATGAGCGTATCCCTCACAGATTATTCTCTCATCTGCATTAGCAACATTCAAGTCAGTAGTAAAGTGCACTGTGATGAAGCGGAAAGTCAATAAGGATCGATCGATTCCGGTTAGACACTAAACTCGTTCCGTCGTTTGGCTTCCTCAGTATGGTGTCCGTATTTCTGCCCCGTTGCTGTTGGATAGTTCTGCAAACGGCCATTTTCATCGTGTTTGCATTGCGTGTGATGCGTGTGCAGCAGAAACTGCCGGACTGGGCTGGGCTCTGTCAGCTAACACGTGTCGAATAAACTTTGAACAGAGAGTGATTTGATTTGATCAATTGTGACACAAGATGACCGTTGCTCTCCTTAGGTGCACATTGACCAAATCGGTTGGATTGTGTGTGTGTGTGTGTGTGTGTGTGTGTGTGTGCACATACACACACACACACGGAATGAAGATTTTCCGTGACAGACGTATACACAAGGCCAGCGCGATGTGGCTTAATGGGGGATAGTTCATGTGTACTTTACCATTGTTTGAGGTCATTTGTCTTTCGATATAACTAATCAATAAAGGCCTCAGTTTAAAAGAACCTGATGGTCTATATATTTGTTTTTCTTGTCTTGTCTATAGCCTACTCGCTATCAAGCGTGGAAAAATCGACCTGTAGTCCGAAAATTAAGTCAATAGAAGACCGAGTGAGCTTGTCTTGCTCACATTTGTGAGTAGTAGGTAACATAGTTGGTGATTTATTTCGGTGATCAAAAATTAATAAGATCACCGAGAGCAAATTGCTGAGTCTCAAAGAATAGTTATCGATTGTTACATTCATTACCCGTTGTGCAGCCAGGAACTGCGATAGTATGTTTCTGATGCGATTTATGTGTTATGTATGCAAAATTAGGGATGTCCCATCTGTAATCCTCAATAAGCAACTATTCACTGCGCACCGCCTTGTGGAGTTATAAGAAGCGCAGTCTCACAAACAGTAACTGCGTTGCTACCGAGTCCCTCCGATTATCTTGTCACACTACTACGTTGTTTCTACTGGGTCTGACTTATCTATGAATTGACTTGTTTTCTGGCCCTTCCTGAAGTGGAACACCGTATGTGATCAACAAGTGTCTCATCTCGCTTGATTCGTTGCAACCGCGGTCAGTATTTTACGATATTCGGATGCGAATTCCATTGTCGATTTCGCAGTATCATTTTTGTATGTCCGGTCGGTAGTTCATATTTCCAGCGCAATAGGCAGATAGACAGAGGGAGAGAGAAACGCATGATCTGTCAATCTTTCTGATCGCTTTTGTTCAACACACTTCTTCGATCGACTCAAAAATGACCGATGAATCAGATTCGCCGGTCGATGATCCGTGGGGAAAAAAGTCAAGGGTGATCAAACAAAGACCGGGCATGCGGATATGAAATCCCTAACCAAGATACTCGTTTACATAAGATTCGTTAGGCTCCATGGCTGGAGACCCCCGAGATCAAGGTCAGCAATGGTTCGATACACTGAATGATGTGGTTGGGTGTTGCAAATAGTGACAGTTATGCATCTACTTGTTATTTGTTGCAACCCGCAATCTTGATGAACCGTCTCCCTCTTCAATTCGTTCTCAACATTCCAATTTTTTATTCTGCTCTTTTATCCAAATGGGTAACCAACAGACAGCAACCAAAATCGGCGTACGAAAATGCATGGTTAATGTTTGGAAAACTGAAACGATAACTGCAACAAATGTCTAACCAAAGGGATATCTTTGACAACGCGACCAATATTGGTTTTGTGTACTCAACCGTTCCGAATGATCAGTCACATCGATGTCGTTCTTATGACCTGAAAAGGTCAATTTTAGCATGAAATTTATCTTAGTGTTTCTTTTTGTAGCGCACTTTCTACTAACCATATCAGCTTCAAAGGTGATAAGCTCTCAATGAATCGTTCTCTTCCACGGTTTCAACATCAAGCGTGTTAACTGGATGCTTTCCCTGATAGTTGCGCAGACTAATTGCACTCTACGTTCATCACTAATAAAGCCATAGAATCGACCGGTTCTAACTGCAGCACAGTGGTAATCAATACTCCAACCTCTAGGCGAAACATTTGCTTCCTCCTTCCATGTTCCTCGACAACTTAGACAAAATGAAAACTACCTCTCGGATTACTGTCTTACTCATGGGTTTCAAGACTGTTACCAGATCCCATGTTGTTTCGTGATGGGCAGAACTATCAGTTCAAGTCAGTTCAGTTCTTCCAATCATCGACCATCTTCTTTCGTGCGCCCGTTGTGGTTGCTGTCTTTTCGTTGCCCATTTAGATAAAAGAGCAGAATGAAGATTGAAACGTTAGGAGCAGATTCCAGCGGAAGGTAACACATTGAGAAAGATTGAAGTTACAAGAGTAATAAGTAAATGCACGAGCGACACTGTATCCGACACTCAGCCATCCCACCCAGTGTTTCTAACCATCGGGTACGATCATCTCGGGGTCTCCATCCAGGGAGCGTAACGGGACCTATGTGACCCAGTATCCTAGTCAGGGTTTTCATGATCTCATGCCAGGTCTTAGTTTGACTGCCCTTGACTATTTTCCATCCTCCTCGGCAAACATTTTGCGCCGTGGCAACCTGTTTGCTGACATGCGTAACACGTCCCAACCAACGTAATCTATGGAGATCAATCACTTGTTCCAGTGGACGACCGCGAATGCCTAAAACTCTACGCCTAACCTCATCATTGCTCATCCGACTACCCCACTAAACTCGTGCAATGCGACGTAGACAGCGGCGTTCGAATACCGACAGTCTATCTTTGTCCTGTTTTCTTATTAGCCAAGTTTCTGCTCCATATAGAAGGACTGGCCGAACTGCTGCAGCATATACTGGACTCTTCACAGACAACCGGATGTCGCAACGGCGCCACAAATGTCTCAAGTTGGCAAATGCCAACCGAGCCTTTTGTATACGCGCCGACACTTCATCTGTGATGCGTCCACCAGGTGAGATATAGCTGCCCGGATAACAAAATTTGTTTACTTCTTCTACTACTTCCCCAGTCAGGGTGAGACTGGGTGCTGGACCAACCCAGTCTAGTAGTAAAATTTTACACTTTGAAGGTGGAAAACATATGCCAAACATGGCTACACTAGAACCCAAACTATTCAGAAAAGCTTGCAACTTACCTGGATCTTCATTTTGTAGCACAATGTCGTCTGCATACTGTACATCAGATAGCGTGCTACCTGGGAGTAAATCGGTGCCACTATCCTCGCACGAGGATAGGGCTGTTTCAAGAATTAAATCTATCACGAAGTTGAACAGAAATGGAGAGAGAGACAGAGAGGGCAACCCTGTCGGACACCACTTTATNGGCCGAACTGCTGCAGCATATACTGGACTCTTCACAGACAACCGGATGTCGCAACGGCGCCACAAATGTCTCAAGTTGGCAAATGCCAACCGAGCCTTTTGTATACGCGCCGACACTTCATCTGTGATGCGTCCACCAGGTGAGATATAGCTGCCCGGATAACAAAATTTGTTTACTTCTTCTACTACTTCCCCAGTCAGGGTGAGACTGGGTGCTGGACCAACCCAGTCTAGTAGTAAAATTTTACACTTTGAAGGTGGAAAACATATGCCAAACATGGCTACACTAGAACCCAAACTATTCAGAAAAGCTTGCAACTTACCTGGATCTTCATTTTGTAGCACAATGTCGTCTGCATACTGTACATCAGATAGCGTGCTACCTGGGAGTAAATCGGTGCCACTATCCTCGCACGAGGATAGGGCTGTTTCAAGAATTAAATCTATCACGAAGTTGAACAGAAATGGAGAGAGAGACAGAGAGGGCAACCCTGTCGGACACCACTTTATGTGGTGAATTCAGGTGAAAAAGTGTCGTAAGCTCGGCCTCGGCCTCGGCAGACACGATCGCTTGACTTTTGGGGTTCAAATTTGGTAAACGATGACTTGAATCGTCTTTGCTCGTGACGTCTTTCTTTTATAGAAGGATGTCTGGTGTGACAGAACTCTTCTCTGTGCCCTTGTTTGCGGCATTTTTGACACGTGTTTCTTGAGGGGACAGTGACGCGTGTAATGCCATTCTTCGCATTTCCAACATGCTTTGGGGCGGGGGTCTTCTGGTTTCGGCTTCTAACGGCTTTCGGGTAGATATTGACCGTGGCTTTGTAACAGCATGGACCTTTGATGAGGCTGTAGTCGGGCAGCGTTGCTCAACCATGGCTGAGTCATGCTTGAAGTTCTCGAGTCGCTGGCATTCTTCTTTCAGTGTCCGCTAATTGATGTTAGGGTCTTGTTCGATGCGATTAAGTAAACGAGTGCGGATTTCTGCGTCAAGGGGAGACTAAAGTGCGCACAAGAATATCAGACATTTGAACTGGTCGTCAGTCATTGAACGCAACTTGAATTTCTCGGACTCCCGGTTCACAATCTGGCTAGGGTCAGATAGTCATCTGCATCGTTTTTCGCTAAATTGGGACAGTGATACCGGATACTGAACAAAGACGTCTTTTCATCAAACGTGTCTGAAAGTTACTGGATCTTTTCTTCAAAAGTGAAGTGACGTGGACTTTTGGGCATGACTGTGTCTGTGTAACGGTCTTGTTCTTTAGTTTCCAGCTTCTGGAGCAATAATCGCACCTTCCATCTATCATCACCATCTGCGAATTCAAAACGGAATACATCTTCCCAACGTTTGAGCAAGGAATGAAATGTAGTTCCTGCATCGGGGTCGTACACGAATTCAGTGATGTCTGCAGCAACAGCGTCAATAGATGTGGACTGTTTAACCGGTCGTGCTGGATTGGGATGTGAGCTGAGACGTTGTAACATGGTCTCCATCATCCTTGGGTCCGCGGCCTCGAATTGTGCCTGTTGGTGTTTGAGAATTTCTTGTATCTGCTCCGGCGTGTTCAACATTGTGGATCCGTAAATTTCCCGTCACTAGTTGTCTTTTGTCTAGCCGTTCGAATTACACGACCGACTCATGCTTAATCCCCAACGACAACGCGGAGAGAGAACACAGGTTTAGACAACAGTCGGTGTGTATTTTTTTGAGACAACAATCAGAATATATTTTTCCTATTAGATATCGATACGTAAATATGTAGGACAAATCGTGCATATGAGAACCGCGCAGTGACTCACCAATCAATCAGATTGTGTCCTTGACATATCGATTGATCGATCGGACAAACATTGGTTGATTCGTTCTGTGAACATTCAAACGAGGGCCTGCTTGTCTGAGCGTTGCGAGCGTGCGTGTGGTCTGACCCTGAGGCGTACGCGATCGAACGGGTTGCTTAAGCTCCGTCCCAAAAATTTGCATATGATAAAATAAAAAGTACACTGTTTGTAGATTCTGAACAATTGTCAAATATTCCCTACCTTTTTCCCTCGACTCTTCGTTCTACCCCTCGCCCCCTCAGGTGTCCGATGTAGAAGCGCACAGTGCACTCATCCATCTCAGTTTACCCACAGACCTGACCGTACCATTGACGCTTGGCCCGAGCACTATGGACGGGACGGATGCGTCGAATTCCTTGCCTCTGCGTGGAACCGGTCACTCTGCTTCGGATCTTGGAATCAAATCGACAGGCAAACTGCGATCTGATGGTCAGCCGATGACAGATATTTGCCCGGGTGTGGACGCCTCTTGGACCTTGGACGAGGCGGAGATCCAGTTCGAACTCCACCTAGCCGAACGTGATATGGAGTCCCGATTCAACTGTGTATTTGTGTAAGTTTGGTCATGCTCACTTTCCCCAATCGCCCGTTTGTCTCTGCAGTGTTGATGACAGCCACAGCTTACTCCCACGATTTCGGTCAAACAACTCCGGTCCTCCCCTCTGCAGTCAAATTGAATAGAACTAAGCAGCACTATGTAGACAGGCATAGGGATACAGGTTCAAATCAATGCTCACAGTTTGTGAATAATTCTGTGGTTTTCGTCTTCCCATGCCCACTCCAAACCCGAACCAGCTTTTTTCTATACCTTTTCCCATCAAACTTTCGCCAAAACCTGCAGTCTCGATCTGTAATCCTTTAACCAAAACCCGCTATACTTTGGCCACGACCCGTAGCTTCGACGCACATATTTTAGTCATGCAATACTACGAGTCAGTTCAAAGAGAGAGAGAGAGATGACCCAAAATCGAAGTCAGTGGCGCGATTGATGGCCCGTCTGCCTGTTGAATACCCATTTCCCATTAAAAAAACGATAAATAAAGACACGAAAAATTTAAAAAGGTGTACGGTGAAACACAATTTTCCATTTTAACAGTTTCGCCTTCTTTTACTATTTTCTTTATTCACAATCCACCCAAATCGTTATTGTTATTGTTATTATTTTTGTGGCGTTGGCACCATGCTTGTCTGCAAGCCGGAGTGAAACAGAACTAAATTTTAGGAACCTGAACTTAGAAGTGAACGGATTTCGAAGGTCCACATGGTTTATTTGAAAAGACACTAGTCAAAGTCCCCTAACGCCCTTCCACACACCCACCCCCACGCCTTTCGCCCCCCCCCCAACANAAACTGTGAGTCCAACAAGATAGAATCGCTTATAACTGGAGAACGAGGAACACAGAAAATGCATACCAGATATTTGGAGGATTTTTTGTTTAAAACAGATTTGATTGTGCAACGCGCCTTGACTACCATAATCAGAACGGTAGACCCCCTCCTCCCCGCGGCCGCTGCCACCGTGCGCCTGTGTGCTGTTTGTACGTCTATCAGTCCACCAATCATCACGGGTTTTGCGAGTGTGACGTAATGTTTGTCTATCTCGACGTGTCGGTTGAACGAATTGACCGAGTGCAGAGCTACGAGGCTTAATCATGCCTCCTTTTTCTTAGCTCTCGCCACAACTTTCGCGTTATCGATTGGGATCTCGTGACCTGTCCGTGCGCAGTGATTCCAGATTTGTGACCTCGGGTCAGCGCGTCGGAGGGCAAGCTTGTGTTTGTGTAGGCGAGTGTGTAGTTGTTTGCCTGTCTCACCTATGTAGTGTTGGTTGCAGTCCTGGCACGGGATTGCGTAGATTACTCCTGATTGTTGGTGCTGTTCGACTCGATCCTTGCCGTTGAAAGGAGACGATCGCACGGTTGCTGCCGCTTTATGGGCCATCTTGATTCCGAACAGTTGGAGTATTCGTTCGGTGGCCAACTATGTAGGGTAGCGTTATCCAAGTTTCTTCTTTTGTATGTTATTTGTTTCTTACCTCTGAGGCACGCTTTGATAAAACTCCCGCGATGTGCGTTTGATAGGAACAGTTGAAAGAGTCGACTTCTTTCTCTTGTCCTTAACTCCGGTGTGCTACAGTGTGCGTTTGTTCGGCGGAATAGAGTTCGCACACAACTTTTTAGGTGGCACAAATGGTAATTGCTGTTGTGGTTGAGGATGCGTTCCGTCGTGGTCCGTTTTCGATACACCGTGGTTTGGATTCTTCCGTCAGGTTGCCTCATGAGAAGGATGTCGAGGAAGGAGAGTTGTCCATCTTTTTGTCACTGTCATGTGAAGTTAATACTGGGTACCTGCTCGTTGATCATTTGGTGGAACTGATCTACTGTGGAGGCTCTGAGTGTGACGAATGT